TGGATAAGAGGTGGGAGTGGATAAGAGGTGGGAGTGGATAAGAGGTGGGAGTGGATAAGAGGTGGGAGTGGATAAGAGGTGGGAGTGGATAAGAGAGATAAGGGTATTGTAGAACGAGAGAATCTAGCCTCGCTCGTTTAGCATATATAGAGCTGCATTATTCAGTAGGAAGATAGCTACATTATTAGCTTAAAGATAGAGCTGCAGCAGGACAGATGGCACGTAATTTTAATATATTATGATAGTACAAGAAGTATATATGATGCAGTATAGTACAGGGTCACAAATGATACTAGACTGGCAAAGATACAGCACGGAAATCAGCCCCAGTAATAAAGCATCTATGTGGAGATGAGTTCATTGGTAATCACCTCTATTGTAGATACTGATGTCGACATCCGCCTTGACATCGACATCGCACACATCGACATTGCCGTTGACGTCGTGTTGTCTCAATCTCTGGTTTTGGGCTCTAATCTTTTCCAATTCCTGTAAGTAGTTGTCTTCGACTCCGGTGACATATGATCCGGTGAAAACACCAACTTCGAAATTTTCAATGTCTTTTTGTTTACAACAGTCGATCAAGTCCTGCAAGTCCTGGTAGAATACCCTGTCGGCACCGATAGCCTCGGCAATCTCCTGCTCGTTTCTATTGAACCCAATCAACGCCTTGGTGTCCGCCAAATCGATCCCGTATATGTGGTTAAATCTGATTGGTGGGGCACACGAAGCAAAGAACACTCTCTTAGCACCGGCCTCTCTGGCCATCGCTACGATTTCCTTTGAGGTGGTACCTCTGACGATCGAATCGTCAACAAGTAACACACTGCGTCCTTTAAACTCGGACTCCATTGCATTCAACTTTCTTCTCACCGACGACCTTCTTTCTTGTTGGTCTGGCATGATAAACGTACGGCCAACGTATCTGTTCTTAACGAATCCTTCCCTGTAAGGAAGTTTCAACGACACGGCACATTGCAAGGCCGAAGTACGCGAAGTGTCTGGTACGGGAATCACAACGTCGATTTCCTTAAGAATATCCTGGCCTGGGAATGCTCTGGTGATGTTTTGGGCCAACTTGTCTCCCATGTCAATTCTCGTTCTATAAACAGAAACACCATCCAAAACCGAGTCAGGTCTGGCAAAGTAAACATATTCAAAAATATCTGGTGCAAATTGTTTTGGCTCGACAACTTGACGGAACTCAGGCTTATTACCACGGTTGTTACCCTTAGGAATAATAACAGCTTCACCGGGCTTAACATCTCTAAACTTATTGAAACCATGAGCTTTTAACACTACCGATTCGGATGCTAGCATATAATCGATCGTGCCATCTGAATTGACTCTTTCACCAAACAATAATGGTCTGATACCGTTAGGATCACGGAATCCAATAATACCATAGCCTGCCAACATAGCTACACATGCATAGGCTCCTCTGATGAATTCCATTGTTCCCTTCAACGCCAAAAACAAATCCTGGTTATTCACTCTCGACTTGTTAAATTTCTCTAATTCCGCTGCAAAGATATTGATAAGCAATTCGGAATCAGAATCAGTGTTAATGTGACGGTGTACTCTTTCATCAAGATAATTTCTCAATTCAATCGAGTTCACCAAATTACCATTATGACTAATACAGATACCATATGGCGAGTTCACATAGAATGGTTGGGCCTCGCTACCGGCACTAGAACCTGCAGTTGGATAACGCAAATGAGTAATACCCATGTTACCAACCAAGTTATTCATTCTTTGTTGTGTGAAAACGTCTCTGGCCATCCCGTTTCCTTTACACTGATAGAATCTACCTCTAGATCCGCATGTAACTATACCAGCTGCATCTTGACCTCTATGCTGTAAAAACATAGCACCTTCAAATAACTCATTTGCAACATTGGCTTGCTCATCGGCACGTACGATACCTAAAATACCACACATGTTAACTTAATAATTAGACGTAGATTAAGCTCATTAAACCTTAAGAATTTTTTTTTTTTCATTGAGCATTTAAATAATCTGACTCGAGAAAAAATTAATCGATGGGTTGTGCGTACAATAAATTAATTATGTACTGTTTGGAACCGATTATGAACTTTATTAGTTAAACGAATGTACAGACAAGTGCATTTAAGTGGTTAATAAGTTAGAAATTACACTATCAAGGTTTTATTAGCAAAATAAAAAGATGAAATTGAATTACTATACAGATTATAATAGGCCTTAGAGTATAACCTTGGTGATGATTCAATAAGGCTTCAAATCCAAAAAAGACGGTAAATTGAACTCAATAATTATGAGAACCCGATGGCTACAATAATTATCATACATTATCCCAAGTGATCTGATACGCTTTAATTATTCCAGTTACTGAAAACGTTTAAAACATAATCAAAGCATATGTAAGATAATTCCGCTAGATGCATTAAAATGTGCTATTTTTAATAGTGATATGCTTATGAACTTTTATATATAATCGAAGTTATGCCCATTAATACGTTTAAGGATAAACACTATAAACACGGCTGTCGGAACTAATTGCAATGCCACGTATGTACTTCTCAAGTGAAGACAGCAATGATATCACTTTCGATGAACCAACCAGGAATTGTATTGAAGTGGACCCAATCTTGTTCACTAGGGTCCAGAACGATGAAGAACAAAATGTAAGGGTCTTTTTGGATACTCACTTGTTAAAGATTCGAAGTAGAAGAGGTTTAGGAGAGCGTGCTCCGGGAAAATTAGTTAGCAAGAGCCATGCATCCATAAACGTAGGCTTGGTACCTGATATATCTGCATTAGCCTATATTACTGATGCAATGGTTAATGCTGAATTCAGAGAAATGGGTAGTAATGAATTTAAGAGTAGCTATCTCGCTCCTCTTGAAACTACTATCCGAGAGCTGAAGTTACGCATAAGACCCTTAGCGGTCCAATATACTTATCCATCGGGAAATTCTCGGAATGTGGAGCATCATATCCAAAAGTATTTTAATGAAATATGCGGGCCAATAGAGAACCTTTACCAAGATATTTGTTGTAGATACCACTATTTTGAAAGTGCTTCATATTTAAGACCTCCTTTGAATACAGATATATTTATAGAGTCTGACATTATCCATTTCGCTGAATACGAATCAGAAGATGGTCGTTTTCCTGAAATCTGTTTTGGATTAGGTGATTACAAAACAGAAAATTACTATTTAGCGCAAGGGTTTGAGGAATTTAAAGTAGTTCTTAAAGGCTTTAAACGAATGGATCAGCAGACAGAATACTTATTTCAAGATATACATTGGAATCCTAGTATCTTATTTGCTTTAATTCTAAGCAAATATTTTTACAATGCTTTCCTCTGTGGAACAAATAGAGTTCTAGTCTCGAACCATCAATCATTTTCAGGATTCTTTAAATATGATATTGTTGAAGGCCAAATGACCGTAGACTATTATATCATTAGTGACCCCGAAACTGTTGCAAATGGGATTACTTTAAGGTCGGCAATTGCAAGCTTTTTCTATCAAACAGAGGATGGCGCAATTGAAACTCGAAACAGGTTAAAAAAGGATCTTAGTATAGCCCACAATGCCAATAAGCGGGATCCATTACGAAACGTGCGTCCTAAATCTCACAGGCAGACGCCGATGAGATCATCTGAAAGTAAGTATGAGCCATTATTGTATTCAGTATGTGAAGATGCTGATCATGAGAACATCCACGAAATCCAGGACATAATCTATGGCAATACATATTGTCGAGTAATTTACAATTCTGCAAAATGTTATCCTAAATTGACGGTGCACCTCCCACGCACAGTGTTTGTCAAATTATACTACTTCTCTAGTCGGTTATGGAGAGAAAAGGATTTGACATGTTTTGGTATTCCTGATAGAAAAGGTTATTATAGTATGTTCTTCAATGAACTTGAAATTAATGAGGAAATTGCAAAATCACGGTTTGCTTCCAATTTTCCAAAACTCTTTGTTTCAGGGTATTGGAATGGGTTTACTAACCAACCAATACATATATTTGAATATTTAGGAAAGGAAATACCAAGCGAACAATGGGACAAGAAAAAGGTTTATGGGGTTATTAGATTAAGGCTCAGGGAACTCCATCTGTTGAGAATCTCGCATAACGACATCAGGAGGAGCAACATTCATGTTTCAGAGTCAGGTAAAATCACCTTAATAGACTTTGGATTATCGGAATATCCATGCAGTGAAGCAGGCATAAGGGATGACATTGAGTCTCTTGATAACATATTTGATGTTCAGCAAAACCAATACAGATAGACAGGAAGTCAAGTTGCAGTTAATGACAATTCTGAGACTAGTCATAATGACGAAGGCGATGAAAACACACCTTCCGATTGAGTTTCGAGTCACACGATACGAAAAGTACAACTACGACAAAGCAAACTGGAACAATCATGACATAAACTCATTGTCCGTTCCCAATTACTTTCCGTAATATCGAATAATAGTGCCAATTATGATTTTTTATTAGCTAAAAAAAATCTATATACAATGGTAACGCTAAACAAATAACAGGTACCATTCACCAATACCATCTAATTAGCAAACGTAAAAATAAAAAAAAAAAAAAAAAAAAAAAGTAAAAAACAATAAATAAATAAAAATATAACAGCATAGAATATTGTAAGAAAGGAAAATATAACTCAACTGGAAAAATGAAACGGAATAGGACAGCATAAGATCAAATATATATCTAACAAAAATCTATCATGTAGAACCAAATACCAAAAATAAATGCTCGTAAATCATTAAATACATATACCAAAAGAATACAGGAATCGTTAATTATCAAGGTAAACTTATCAGTTCTTTAAATTTTCTCATTATTCTTTGAAGTCATTTTCCTAGTAACTCTAATTTCATCCAAGTATGAAGTTATACGTTGGGATCTCTTTTTTTTGTAGTTTTTTTGGAAGGTTTTCTCTTTTTTTTTTTTTTTTTAATTTATTTTAAGATGAATTTTAAATACAAATAAAACATATTGGAACAAAAGCAAACAACAAAAGCACAGAACTATATTGCTCTATTGAAATTGTTGTTGCTGAGATTGGGGTTGAGGTTGTTGATATTGTGGGCTGGCATATTGTGGTTGAGGTGGATATCCGTTAAATTGGGGAGGCACCTGCTGTTGAAATTGAGGAGGATAACCAGGGTATTGTTGTGGTGGCATCTGGTTACCTTGGCTTGGGTGGACCTGTTGGGATGGAACCGGACCATTAGATACCTGTTGAGGCATACCGGCAACAGTAGCATTCACTTCAGGTTGACCCTTATATTCATAACCACTCTTCTTGTGAACGGTCTCATTACCCTTTGGTAACTGGTCAATTTTAAAAGGTCTTGGAACCGCTGCTTCGTTTTCAGCAACATACAAGGACTTATCGATAGTAGCTGGGATTGGCTTGATTTCTGTACCCAATTCTTGCTCGATTTTATACAAATTATAACGGTCATTCCAACTCATCAAGTTAATAGCCAAACCTAAGTGACCAAATCTACCAGAACGGCCAATTCTATGTAAGTAAGTTTCAGCAGTCTTTGGGAAATCGAAATTGATAACAACATTGACTGCTTGAATATCTATACCTCTGGTCAATAAATCAGAACAAACTAAAACACGCACTTTACCCTGTCTAAACTCGTGGAACACTTTATTTCTAGCATGTTGAGGCATTTTTGCGTGAGAGTAGTAACATGAGTACCCTAATTCAGTAATCTTCTTAGCTAAAAGCTCAACACGATTCGTGGAGTTACAAAAGATAATTGCTTGGTTGATTTGCAATTTACTGAATAAGGTGTTCAAACAATGTAATTTTTGTTTTTCTTCGACGAAGGCATAGAATTGTGAAATACCTCTCAAGGTTAATTCATCCATTAAATTAATTTCGTATGGCTTGGTCAAATGTTGATCCATAAATGATTTGACTGCTAAGGGGAAAGTTGCAGAGAATAATAATGATTGTCTGGTGGTTGGGAAGAAAGCTAAGATTTGCTCGATAATGCCTTTGAATTCTCTCGATAACATTTTATCAGCTTCATCCATAACGAATAATGGACATTCTGATAAGTCCGCCACTTTTCTCGACGCCAAATCTAATACTCTACCTGGGGTACCGACTAAAACATGAACTGGGTCGTTTAATCTCAAAATATCATCTCTTAAAGAAGTACCACCGGTGGTGACCATACACTGAAGGCCCAAATGTTTACCCAAGGTTCTGACGACTTGAGATGTTTGTAATGCCAATTCTCTAGTTGGGACTAAGATCAATGCTTGAATTTTATTTACTTTTGGTCTGACTTGTTGCAAACATGGAATAACGAACGACGCCGTCTTCCCCGTCCCATTCTTGGCTCTAGCCAATATATCTCTACCTGCAAGTGCCATTGGGATCGATTCTTCTTGCACTGGCGATGGCTTCTCAAATCCCGCTTCGAAAATCCCCATCAATAATTCTCTCTTCAATGGAAAGTCTTCGAATGTCTTCCCTTTCGTATTTAAAACATCTTCTGTTTGTGGTCTAGTATCCTTTTGCGGAATATTTAATGATTCTTTCCAGTTTCTTAAGCATATTAGTATACCATGTCTTCACATTTAAAGAAATAAGTTCCGATTATAATTTTTAAAACTAATAAAACATTGAAAAAAAAAAAGTACTTACTGGTCTGTCATATCGTATTGTTATGTAAATATGAATATATCGTATGTTTAGCGTTTAGAATATTCGACTTGTAAAAGTTTTGTTGTAGGTATAATACAAGTAATTAATGCAGTGAAATGTAACAATAAAGCACGGGTTAATTCAAATAGGCGTGCAAAAGTATTCAGTTGAGTAAGAAACGTAATCTAGTATTAATTAAGATTGATTAGTATATAGGCTTAATTAGTCCTATGTTCATATACTGTTAATTAGTTTTCGACTTCGAAGTTTTCGGTAAAGTCACGACGCGATGTTTTACGATGATTCACTGAACATTACCCGGATCATGGAGTGTCTATCAGACTATGTATGTATATATAAATGTATAGAAGGTGGTAGGCTAGGGAACTACTAGTATATTGGTTCCTATGGGAGTTGTTTTCAAAGACGAAAATTCGAAAATTCGAAAATTCTGTCTGAAAATATGCATTATGACTTCTTCGACCGAAGTCTGCTTGACTAGGTCTGCTTGACTTGGGCCTGCTTTATGTATGATTTTTGTATTTTGCAATACGTAGATATTCGGAAGGTAAGAATGGACTTGTATGTGTGAATAATTTCAAAGACAGTCCAATCGAAGAAACGGATAAGCTACTCGGGGTGCTTCATCGTACAATGATTCATTGAGATGGGCTGCAGTCTAGCGTGACGCTTTCATAATATTACGTCGTTATCGTCCTTGGTTATAAACTGGGCAATTTTTTCATTTACTTGTGATTCGTCAACCATTTTAGTAAGCATGCCTCTCATTATATCTGATTCTTTTACGTCTGGAATGAGTAGATTATTCTCTTGTAGCTGGCTCATCGTCAAATTAAACGGATATACACAAGACTCGGACGAACACAGTATCAACGCCAATGACGGCTGAAGCAAGTGCTGCTTCATCAGAGAAGAACATAACGGGCATTCCATGGCCGAATAAAGAATAATAAATAATAATCTCGGATAAGAATATTTGATCACCTCATCATATATAGTGCGATTTTTCAACTTAAGATAAAGCAAGGCAAAAGAACTCTTCCTATTGTTTTAGTCATATTTGATATAAATATATAAATAATCATGAAGTTATCTACAGAGACGGTTAATAAATTGCAGCTGGATGCATCTAATATTCGTAATATCTGTATCTTGGCGCATGTCGATCATGGTAAAACATCTTTGAGTGATTCGCTTCTTGCTACTAATGGGATTATCTCGCAGAGAATGGCAGGAAAGGTTAGATATTTGGACTCTCGAGAGGATGAGCAATTGAGAGGTATAACAATGGAAGCATCTGCTATATCGCTATATTTCAAGGTTATGCGTCGTAAAGAATCCAAGGAAGAACAAGCAGAACCAGAAACCGAGATCAAAGAACATTTGATCAATTTGATCGATTCGCCAGGACATATCGACTTCTCTTCTGAAGTCTCTACTGCATCGAGATTATGTGATGGTGCTGTTGTCTTAGTAGATGTGGTTGAAGGCGTCTGTTCTCAAACAATTAACGTTTTGAGACAATGTTGGATTGACTCTTTGAAGCCAATTTTGGTTTTAAATAAAATTGATAGATTAGTAACTGAATGGAAATTGACCCCATTGGAAGCCTATCAGCATTTATCAAGAGTTATAGAGCAAGTTAATTCTGTTATTGGTTCATTTTACGCAGGAGAAAGGATGGAGGACGATATGATTTGGAGAGAAAAAGGTGAGATTGGTGAGTTTGTTGAAAAAGACGATGAAGACATCTATTTTTCTCCTGAAAAAAATAATGTTATATTCTCCTCGGCTGTTGATGGTTGGGCCTTTTCTATTAATACATTTGCAAAGATCTATCTGGCGAAATTAGGATTTTCTCACAACGTTTTATCGAAGACCCTATGGGGTGACTTTTACCTTGATATGAAAAACAAGAAAATCATTCCAGGTAAAAAGCTCAAAACTACCAACAACTCAGCGAAACCTTTGTTTGTTTCCTTGATTTTAGAGCAAATATGGTCTATTTACGAACATTGTATCATGGAGAGAAGTCAAGAGAAGCTTGAAAAAATAATAGAAAAATTAGGAACCCAAGTGAATCCTAGAGATTTACGTTCAAAAGAATACAAGAAGTTGTTGAATTTGATTATGTCGCAATGGATTCCCGTAAGTCATGCGTTATTGGGCGCTGTTATAGAATCCATTCCAAGTCCAATTATTGCACAACAGAAAAGGATAGGTAAGTTATTAGATGAATGTATTTATGATGCCGTTGATGATACCAAAGAGAAATCGAGTTTACTAGATCCGGCATTTGAAAAAGCTATGCTTAATTGTGATTCTTCTGATCCAGAAAACCATACCATGGCCTATGTTTCCAAGATGATTTCAATTCCCGAGGAAGATTTACCGAAGGATGTTGCAGCAGGCTCTGTTTTAACTGCAGAAGAGATCATGGAAAGGGGACGAAAGGCGAGAGAATTAGCTAAAAAGGCTTCAGAAGCAGCTGCTGTTTTGCAAGATAGTAAAACACAGGATGAGTTTAGTTTGCCTCAACAAGCTAAAGATCCATTCGAATGGGAATTTGAAGAAGATGATTTTGAAGAGGAGGAGACTGATGAAGATGATAATCAAGCCACACCAGAAACCCTCATAGCATTTACTCGTATTTACTCGGGGTCATTAATTAAAGGTCAAACTATCACTGTTGTTGGTCCAAAATACGATCCTTCCATACCCAATGATCACGAAAATAATAACGATCAAATTTCACACAACATTGAAATCAAGGATTTATTTTTGATCATGGGTAAGGAATTTGTTAAAATGGATAAGGTCCCAGCTGGTAATATTGTTGGTGTTGTTGGCCTTGATTCCATTGTGTTCAAAAATGCAACATTATGTTCAGAAATTAAGGATAAGCCTTATGTGAATTTAGCTTCTTCTTCGACATTGATTCATAATAAGCCAATTATGAAGGTCGCGGTTGAGCCTACTAATCCAAGTAAATTAGGTAGATTAGAAAGGGGACTTGATATGCTTTCTAAGGCAGACCCTATATTGGAATGGTATGTTGACGATGACTCTGGTGAAATTATTATGTGCGTCGCTGGTGAACTTCACTTAGAAAGGAGCTTGAAGGATTTAGAGGAAAGGTTCGCTAAAGGTTGCGAAGTTGGTGTGAAGGAACCAGTTATTCCTTTCAGAGAAGGACTCGCAATTCATCAACCAGATAATCGAGATGAAGATGAAGACGAAGAAATTATATTGGAAGGTGTTGATTTAGATTTTGATACCTTCCCATTACCGGCAGAAGTAACTAAATTCTTAATTAATAACGAAGCTGAAATCGCTAATATGGTAAATGTCAACCGTAAAACAGCTTCATCATCGCACAATTTGTCGCAGTTCAAGGAAAGGCTTATAGCGTGTTTTGAAGGAAGTGACGATGCTGACCGCATCAAGCAGGAGACTGGCTTCAGACTGCTTGCAGATCTTGTTGATAGTATCGTTTCGTTGGGACCAAAGAGAGTGGGTCCTAACGTACTCATTGAGAGTAAATCCAATAATAACCAAATGAGACGTTTGTTCAACAAAAATACTGAAAGTACTAAATTTGAATTCGAAAACAACGTATTAAATGGGTTCCAGCTTGCGATGAACGAAGGACCATTGGCATCTGAATACATGCAAGGAGTTTTAGTTGTTCTTCGCAAGAGTGAAACATCTCAAGATGTTGATATAGATGAATCTAAAATTTCTAATCTCCCCGGAAGAGTCATCACATTTACTCGTGATTTGATCCATCAATCTTTCTTGCTGAAAGCTCCTCGTTTGTTTTTGGCTATGTACACATGTGATATTCAGGCCTCAGCGGAAGTTTTGGGTAAGGTATATGCCGTTGTCCAGAAAAGAGGTGGTGCCATCATCTCGGAGGAAATGAAGGAAGGTACTCCATTTTTCACAATTGAAGCACGTATTCCTGTGGTCGAAGCATTTGGTTTCTCCGAAGATATCAGAAAGAAGACGTCCGGTGCTGCTAGCCCACAATTAGTTTTCGACGGTTTCGACATGTTAGATATCGATCCATTTTGGATTCCACATACAGAAGAAGAACTTGAAGAACTTGGTGAATTCGCTGAAAGAGAAAACGTTGCAAGAAGATATATGAATACAATTAGAAGACGTAAAGGTTTATTCGTTGATGAAAAGGTCGTCAAGAATGCAGAGAAGCAAAGAACTTTGAAGAAGGATTAGTCTTGGCTAAGGTATAATCCCTAGATGTCATTAGTTAGTATATATTAGTATATATATTCAGTTTCAGGTTTGTGTCACTTTATTTTAAATCCACAAACTTCTCTAACGAGGCCATCTAAAAAAAATTGTAGTAATAGCTTCATTGATCTTCAAAGATTGGAATTAAATCGTAGATTCAGACAATAATTGATGGTAAGAGCCCAAATAAAGAGCAGACAGATTTATATGTTTCATATATAATGCCTATTAAAGAATCGAATTCTAGTCTGGTCGAGAAGGAAGCAAACGCACTTAAAGCACAAAACCCCAATCAACATAACCAAGAGGCGAATAATAATGGTAAGAATATACCGGGCAAGCTTGATCCGCAAAAGCTATTTGACTTGGTTTCCAAAAACTATGACACCTGGCTGCAGGTAATGAGTAAGCAGTTCAAAGACGAAGAAAATTTTCTGCCGTTTCCTAAAGATGAGTCGGGGGATAAAAATTCACAACCGATTTTCAACTACACCTTGTTAGAGGCCTTGGAGAAGGCATCTTCAGATTTTTCAGAAAAAGCGAATGATATAAATGTAGAGGAAGGAAAGAAAGACATACCGAGTAACGAGCAACAAGTCAAAGAGAAATCGTCACAGGCCACTGTCGAGGTTGAAAGTCCAAATATTGAAAAGACTTCTTCGACCTCGTGTGAATCTCTATTAAAAGAATCCGAAATTAACTTTCTTCGGAACAAAATAACACAAATGATAGCATCTAATAATTTTTCGATAAATAATTACAAGACCCCAAAACGAGAAGGATTCTCACTCTATGATACACAGGATGAAGAAGGATTGCACGACGGCAATACCGATCAGTTTTATGATGATGAGCAGGATGATTATGATTTGGAGGAGGTTCAAGATGACTTTCTGTATGACTATATGGGTCAGCGCCGTATTGAAGTTGAACTAAATACAGCACCTGAATGTGAAACACACGGGTTTGAAGAATGCGATTGTCCAATTTTTCACACAGGGAGAGGTAGTGAGTATCGTACTGGCTCATATGGCTTTGATGAAGATGAAGACGGCCCGTCATGTGAGTTCACGTTTGAATATGATAATAAAGGAAAATTGGTGCCCACATATAGTAACGTGGAAGAAAAATTAAGGTTAATGAATTTGGAATCTAGAATTTCAACAAATAGTAATCGTAATAACTTGCAATTACCGTCGATAAACGAAATAAATGCTGGAGGGTCTCAAAATGCTGACAATTCGTCATCAAAAAGTAAAAAGAAGAATAAGAAGAAAAAAAGATCCAATTCCAATACGACTAACTCAAAGCAATCAAAGCCAGCCTCGGATTCACACTCTAACCCAAATGTACATAGCAATCCGGTCTTTGGTTCTTGCTGCTTGTTTTGCGAGTACGAGGTAATCTATGGCTCGAAGCCTCGCCAGATGATAAAATGGTACGACCAGAGAATCCAGAAAGAAGAGCAAAGAAGACTAGAAATAAAAACAAAGCTTGAAAATGCCAAGCTGAGAGCTTTAAAGAAGCAAAGAGAGTTGAGGCAGAAGCAATTACAACAGAATAGCTTAGAACATCCACCTTCTCATACAAAAACAGAAATTAATGCCATTCCAAGCAGCCCCAAGGATGATACTCAACTCAATAATTTGGATACTGATCAGAAATAGTAATTGATAAGTATTTTACTAAAGGTATATATCTGTATATTAGCCCCATACTTAGCATAGTTTTAATAGTACATAATTTTTTTGGCGCACATTATTGAAAAATATCTCTCCACGACAAAGGGGTCACATGAAATTGATCTTGTGGATAAGAAAACGGATTGCTATCTTGTACTAGTAAACGGGTATAATAAAGATGAGTTCGTCAACAAAATGAAATAAAAATTAACCAGTATTGGTTATTCTTTATCATTAATTACTGAAATATAATGTTATCTAGAAGTGCTTCGGAAACACCTGCTATAAGAGCTGGATCATTTACACCAGGACCAAGTCATTTGAATACTTCAATTACATGGGTCAAAGATTGGTACAGCCCGGATATAAATAACACATCGTTTCAGAATAACGGAGGTAGCTTTGAACCTCAAAGTATAAAATTGAAGGGATGGCATAAGACTAATGTTGATTCGAACAATAATCCTGCTGTGAAATTTGATTCTGCTGATACTTTGGACTTAAATAACTGGAAGTATTATGAAGAAGTGGTAATTACGAACCATTCGGGAGATGAAGGCGTCTCTGGAAATGGTATAAGTGAAAGCCTCCCTGAAAATGGCATAAGCGAAGATAATACTGTATCGAAAGATGAATTAAGTTCAGCCTTGAGCATCAAGAATCAAGACGAAGAAATTGTTTCATTATCAGGCATTACAGACACCTAAACTAGGAAGGAACGCCTAGGATTTTTAGTTGCTAAATATATTATATAAGTGAGGAGTATGTAATTCCTCTTCTAATTTATTCTATACGTATTTTGGGAGTGGTGGAATAATTAATTATTCTGATTAGCTTGTTTCAAACAGATAAAGCACATAGCTCGTCTGGCGAGATTGACAGCTTGTTGTAATTCACATTGTTTCTCAAAGTTCCAGCTATCTTCCGCTAGTATAGTAGAAACATCAACTCCCTCTCTTTCCAAGCTCTGGAACTTCTTTCTTACATTTTGTAAGCGTATCATTTCCCTTGGGTCACCCAGGGGAGAACAAACAATCAACATGGTGTTCTCTGGTAATACAGAGTATATTCTCGTGAGTCTTTCGTCAAGCTTGCGGAATAAATAACTCCTATCTTCTGCTGAATCGTCATTTGATTCAGATTGATCATCAGATAGTCTATGGTACCCATCATATGTCTTTGGAATTGGTGACCAGCCCTTATTAAACTCAAGTTCCCTCAATTTCAAAAGTGTTAAATCAGTATCATCAATCTTGTTTGCTAGATGATCAATTGCTTCATCATCGTTACTAACTTGTACTTTCTGTACATGATTTTGAGAATCTTTAGTATTTGTATCACGAACTGGGGTATAATCTATGAACAAGGAGTTTATCGGGTCATGGGATATGCTATTTTTTACATTTAAACGGTCTTTATTAATTCTTTCGAACAATGAAGTTTCATTCATATTTTTTCCAAAATATTCACCTTCTTGTAACTTCACTTTAATTAAATCTAAGCATGCCTTTGCATCTTCTACTGATGAGTGGCCATTTCCTGCATTTTCACCTTCTTGGATCAGTCTACTTAAATATTTTTCAGAAAGCCATTTCAAAGAAGGTTTCAGAGGAGGGCCCCTATGATGTTCAAATACAAGTGCTGTATCGATAATTCTTGGGTGTTTTATGTGCATTACGTTCAAATCTGATTCCAATGAGTGACCTATTAAAATGTCATCGGTCGATACAATACTGAGTAGTTTCTCCTGAATATCTTTTATGTTTGTTGTAACATCCTCCAATTTAGCTTCTGTAATTCCAGAATATTTAGTGAGATAATCAGTAATTACTTCATCTGGTTTGACCAACAGATCCATTACAACTTCACCTTGGAAATTGATTAATGATATACGAGTCAATACCTTACCCGAAGCCGCCTGACAGAATTCACAATCCAATGCAAAAGTGTGCGACCCTTCATGGTCAAACTTCCTAGTTTGCAACCATTCACATGAATCGGCGTTATTAAGATGTTCATCATTTTCAACTAAGTTAGAATGAATAGGATAATTATTTTGAATCATGTCTTCCTTGTTCAATAAAAGATTCCATACTGTCAATTTAGCTTTCCTCAGGCTATCGATTTGATCTTTCTTTTCTTTCTTCGTCAACGGTACATTAGTTAGCGTGTGCAACGCCAGGAATAACGAATCCTTGCTACCTGGTGCGGTTACTTGAATCAATGAGTCAAAATTTTCATTAAAAAACCCTAGACCCTCAGTTCTCACCGTCTCAGACATAGGTACAAATTTATCATCTCGATAAGTAGAATTTGGCTCTAAAAAGTCGTCCGTGACTAACCCTGGAACGAAGCAGAATACCATCTTCTTTATCTCTGTTATTTGCTTTAATCTTATCCAGGATAAATTATGATTTAAGTCTTTATTGAAAATGTGAATGATTAGATCTCGAATATTAGTAAGTGAAAGTTTCTTGATAGAGGGATGTTTTTTATCAGCACTTGCGCTTGTAACTAATTCAAATGTAGGTGGTTCCTGTGACTTTTTCAACTTCTTTTTGTGAATCTTCGTCTCAGATTTCAACGAGCTATTCTTGTTATTGTTGGATGTGACTGACGAAGTCGATGACCTCCTTCTCTTTGGACGCTCTTTATGATTGGGTTGTTTTGATCCGTCATATTTGTCCTTGAATCCACTCAAAGATGTGTCGACATCTGTTTCTTCGTTTACAGACGTGATTGAGACCGCTGAGTCTCGTCTACTTCCATCAGATGCCTTTAAAAATTCTGCCACCAGGTGACGAGGATTCTCTTCCTCTTCCAAGTTAGCAATCGAAATTGAAAGCCTGGCCGTATTTTTACTAAGCGGATCGTTTGCTTCGACTTCTGGCATAATACTTGGAATAATCTGGAGGTAGCATCTTTGTTAATTCTTCTTTTATTTCAAGACAATCTCTGAAATATTGTCGGAGATGTTCCGCGCGTGTATACAGGGTGCCATCGACATATATCAGTTTACATCTATAATACTATGATAAATAAATTATGATCCAGATTGTAGTTTCTCTAAAACTTCTTCGAATGATATACTTTGCTTCTTCTGTATATAATGCGTTCTCTTGGAATTGTTGTATTCCGTGAATAGCAATGAAAATAAATCATTCTTGTATTCTTCGGCCGTGCGGTGTTCAGCTGTATTTTGGTCAACATGGGAATTTATAGAGTCAATATAAGCATTGTACATTAAATTGAGCTTATTAAATTCATTTTCATTTGAAAGTATATGGTACTTTACGTTATCTTTTTCATGGATTGCGGATGTGGCCAATATTTGTATTTTGTTCCATGAATCCCATCCCTTCGGTGACAAGAGACGTACTTGCAAATTTCCGTTATTCCCGTTCTGATCCGTTTCATAAATAGCAACTGGCTCAGGCCTGCTCTGCTGGGTTCGTTGGGTTTGGGTTATGTCGTGATGACCAATTTGCAGCAAAAAACTCGAAATTATTTTCTCGTTTGTCATGAGTGCTTGTGTGTTCGATGTACATACAAATGTACCGCCATGTTTTAAGGATACGAATCTAAGTAATTGTTGTAAGAATACGCTTCTGGGTGATAAGTGATCGTTCTTAAGGTCCACATTATCAAGCACCACAACTAATTCAAACGGTAAAGGTACATCACAATGCCCGGGTGGAAAGTTCAATTCCGTTTCATCTAACTCGTATCCGCTAGTATCATCTTCATACTGCATTTCTTTTAAGTAATAAGCGTACTCTTTTGCGAACTGATTCTTGTTTTGTAGCCTTCCTTCGTCGTTATCAAATGAATTGAGAAATGCCATTGTCCGTATAAATGCTTCAATATCACTAAGAACTGTTATTACGGTTACTTTTCCATGTATATTCTGCGATAATTGTCTCCTAAGATGTTTTTCGAAGATGTTTAAATTGGAAATGACGTAGATGTCATAGCTATTTGTATACAAATAATTTATAGACAGCGTTGCATATCGATGTAAAATTATTATAGTATCCTTCTGTGATGAGCTTGTATCAAAAATGTTCGGATTCATGTTAATATGTAACTCCTAAGATGTATTGATCTGTTAGAGCCTGGGTTGTTGTTATAGGATTTTTTTGTTTTGTGTAATTTTTAAAACAAGCTATATCAAATGATCATAAAAAATAGGCATATACTATAATTATTTCAGTTATATCGATAGTAGCCCCAGCTATGGATAAACCTAAGAAACAAGGCAAAGGTGGAAATTCCATTGTCGAAGAATCTTATAATCAACTCCTTGGCGATTCATCAAATTTGCCCAATGATCAGGTAATTAATGATATATTTCTGTCTCGTAAGACCCAGCATGCTGAAGATGCTGTAGATTATGAAGATATCGATGAATTAGCTGATGATGATGAAATTGACCTAAACGAAGAGCATGAATCAAGCATTCCTCATGATGATGTAGATAATAACGAAGGAGACCTTCAAGAACAAGCGGATGAAGAATTTGATAATATGTTTGGAGACGATGGCAACGAAGAAAACAACATGGATGAAAATAAGTTTGGTTCGTATGCAGACAATAATAACCGTCTATTTAATGACTTGAATAATAATGACCATTTAATAGATGATGATGGTTTTCATGATTTGAACATGGGTGAAATATTTGAAGATGATATACAAAATAAGGAGAATCATTCTGCACAACCAGACAGAAAGCGGACCCGCCCATTGGAACTGGAGGAAAATAGAAGACTAAAGAAGCAAAAACTCGCAAGAGTTGTAAAGAAACTAAAAGAGAGAAATACGAAAAAGAGTTTAGCTTATTATTTCCCGAATTATGCTAAAGATAAACCTTTTAACAATCACACGTTGTTTCTTCCACCTCCCAAATACTATTCCTATCTTCGTCCTCCGATAGCATTAAAATCTAACGTTAAACCATTAATTCCACATAAACTATCATTGAAAATTGATGTTGACCAAAGAAAATTATTTAAGGCCAAGAAGTTACCACTAAACGACAGCTCCGATAATGGAAAAAATAATATAATAAATATCACGTCAAACGATTTAGAAATAATAGAAGAATTAGAAAAAGGAGGTGTTCGGAAGCTATCTAACCTAAACCCGATTTCATTCTTGAGTCTGGATGGAACAAATAATGACAAGTTTTCTGAATTCTCGAAAGACTTGATTCTATCTACGACTTATTGGGATGATGATGCCATTATTAATGCAGGTGATAAAAAGTACGAAACCGGAGTACCTGTCAAAGTCGAACAAAGGTCACTCGATATGGAATCTGATTACGAAGAGGATGAAAACATATTTAATGGACAAATTACAGAGAAGAACTTGAAGTTAGACATGAACGATCCTAATTTATTATTTGTGCCTGATAAGTCTGCATCTGAAAAAACTAAGTCCAAGGCTGTTATTCCTACTAACGAAAAGTTATTGGAAATGAAATTCAATATTTCTAACGATAAAGAATATGAAATATTAAAGAATAATTACAATACAAAGGTTAGAAGTCAATTGAGTAACTTAAATATTGAACACTCGATTCCAGCATTACGGTTGCAAACTCCTTACTATAGAGTTAAGTTGACCAAAGAGGAAGCAAGATCTTTCCATAGACCTAAATTTAATGTCAGGCCGGGTACATTAATAAGTTTTTCGAAATTGAAGTTGCGTAAGAAGAAGAAGGACAGAGGTAGAACATCTCAAGAAATATTTACTAAATCTTCAGATTTAACAACTTCAGATACAAGTGCTCTTATTGGTATGGAATACGCAGAAGAATATCCTCAAATTTTATCCAATTTTGGTATGGGTTCGAAATTAATTAATTATTATCGAAAGGAAAAGGAAGATGATAATTCGAGACCAAAAGCTCCATTAGGTGAAACTCATGTTCTCGGTGTAGAAGATAGATCACCATTCTGGAATTTTGGCCATGTTGCTAAGGGTGATTTTGTCCCAACTCTATATAACAATATGGTACGTGCTCCCGTTTTCAAACATGACACTACCCAAACCGATTTTTTGCTTGTTAGATCTCAGGGAGCTGGTAATCATCAAAAATATTTCTTGAGAAATATTAATCATCTCTTTGCTGTGGGAAATACATTTCCTGCAGTGGAAGTCCCCGCTCCACATTCTAGGAAAGTTACTAATACTTCCAAGAACAGGTTGAAGATGATTGTATTTCGTGCAATGAATATGAATGATGAATCGCGTGTTTCTGTAAAGACTATTGCACATCATTTTCCCGATCAAAACGATATGCAAAATCGTCAAAGATTGAAAGAGTTCATGGAATATCAGAAACACGGCGAGGATCAAGGATATTGGAAAATTAAGAATACCGATATTGTGCCGTCAGAAGATGAGATTAGATCCATGATTACTCCTGAAGATGTGGCATTATTAGACAGTATGCAATACGGGCAGCAGACATTGGAGGATTTGGCGTTTTTGTTCAGTAATGAGGCAGGATCCAAAAAAGAGGATATCAAAAAGGAAAGCAAAAAAGACAAAGCTAGAGATGAGAATACTAGTGATGGAGAAAAAGAGAAAGAAAAACATAAAGAGAAGAATGAAAAAGAGAAGAAATCAAAATTGAAAGATAAGGACAATGATAAAGATAGAGATAGGGATCTTGAAGAAGAAGAAGAACTCGCGCCATGGAATTTAACGCGCAATTTCGTAAATGCCAATCAGACTAAAGCAATGCTTCAACTTAATGGTGAAGGTGACCCTACTGGCATTGGATTAGGGTTTTCATTCTTTAGATCGACACAGAAAAGCAGTTTCACTCCATTATTTGCACCTGTTAAAGAAAACATTCCTAAAAACAATACTGCAGCGTATCAGCAAAAGCTTTATGAGAATGAAGTTTCAAGAATATGGTACGCGCAAAGAAGATCTTTGACTGTAGATCAACTGGATGGTCATGATTTAAATACTGTGTACAATGAATACAAACCTGCCGACCATGATCGAGCAGTAAAACATAAAATAGCAAAAGATAAAGACATTGCTATTAATGAAGAAATTGGATCTGCCGAGAATAAGGCTTTGAGGATAACAAGAAGATTCCGTGATGAAAATGGCATTGTTCAAAGACGAGTTGATACTATTACTGATCCAAGATTAATACGAGCATATATAAGACGTAGAAAGCAAATTGAAGATGAATTATTAAGGAATGCCGAGGTTGACGATATTATTCCGACGAATGATAAAGAATTAAACAAACTCCGTCGTAAGGCTTTGGAAGAAAAATTGGCTAGTTTGGAAAAGAAAGCCAAGCTGGGAAAAGGTAGAAAACCCTCCAAGGATGTATTACATATAGCTGCAGCTGCAGGTGGAAAAGTGATCGATGCTAACACTGTAATGTTACCAGACGGTTCATATGCCTTTGGTGGCAAAGGTATTGGTAAGGGTAAAAGTAAAACTCGAAGATGCGCCTCGTGTGGTGCATTTGGCCACATTAGGACCAATAAGTCATGTCCTTTATTTTATCAGAATAATGAAAAAGAAGCTTCAACAGAAAGCAACTCTGTTGGTGCTGAAACTTCTGTACAGCCTCCTTCATCTTTTCCTCAGGCGGGACCCTCCTCAGGTCAGTAGATTTTTCTCGTTCAATATATTGAATCAACATTAATTAATATACTTCAGTTATGTATGAAGCAATCTCGTAGGATCCTCTTCCTCAATTTATTATTTTCAAAACAATACGCTTATTAAAGGTATATACATGTTGAAACTAATCGTTGTTGGGTTTACCATTCGTCAGTCTACAGTCAAAACAATCTCTTAAATAATATGGATTAAGTATTTAGCTTTAGGTAATTGTTCATTATTGATTAATTTTCAAAATATTATATAGAAATACACCCATATCAGACCATCAATACGTTTGTGACTCTTGATTAACAACAGATCATTGTTCTTCTACAACCCAGTAACGATAAGGATGGATGTGCAGACCCTCATATACTGGATCGGAATTCACGAAGATCCTTTTGAATGCGGAACGTGAATAATAATAATTCGCCATACAAAAAATTTCAAATGAAATAAGGGAACCACCAAAGAGCATCGCCCTTGCCGGAGTTAATTGAGGTAACATTTTGAATTACTTACTAGTTGTATTAACAATACATATGGATAAATATTAGAATGGAGTAAGGAGAGGTATCACGAAATATATACTTTGATCGCAAAAAGCAATCCCAGTCACACGTATTTTGCGATCAACTGATCTTTTTTGATATACGAAATCCTAAATGGTCAATACTTCCTTACACCTTCTCCACCCGGTAGTATTGGTAAGAACTGACCTATAATTAACATAGGTATATCAAATGGGTCTCTCTTAACGGTCCATGCAGAGCAAAATTCAATATACTCTCTATCTGCAACATCCGACGCTTCATTATTAAATGCGGCTGTTGAATTTTTCATTAACTTACATTTAGTAATAATACTCAGGTGTAAATTACCAACAGCCACCGATTTAAACAACTTAAAGTAATTAATAATAGACTCGTCGTCATACATTAATTCCATGATAAAAGTCCGTTTGGACAAAATGTCTGACAAATTGAAACCTAATATACTTAGTAAATCGTTAGAAATGTAAACTATCTCACCCGTTCTACGCCATATGATTGATGGAGAAGAATTAAAAAGTAGTAATTTCTCATAGTCTATTAATGATCTTTGAAAAGACATTTCTAAAAACAACAAGTCGTAGGGTTTCAACAAGTTTTTATGGGCAGAAATGAAGGTTGGCCTGTAACTAGCAATTAGCTTTAATATGATTAATAGATTGTTACGTTTGGCCTGTCTTTGGTCATGTGCTAGAGAGTTTCCCAGAAACCGTCTCTTTAGAAAGTTAGTTAACAGGTGATACGACTGGGGATAGTCAAAATTCGGGATGCTGTGAGTATATATATCTTGGACTGACTGGTATATGTGATGACTTATTAAGGGAGACACGTAGTCGGTTTTGACCAGACTTGATGATATGTTGTGCTTGTTCAT